GGCGACACCCCTGGAGCAACAACGGCCACAGCCACGCCCGGTTCTGCCCCAGCGACCCCCCCAGCGCCCTCAGCAAGCCCAACCGGGTACCAAAGCAACTTCCCTTTCCTCCCACCCTCCCTCAAAAAGACGGCCTGGCCCTAAAGAACGAACGGCAGCCATACGCTTCTCTTCTGTCCAACCCAGAACAAACAACACAACACCACGGCACGCAGTCGAAGCAATATATTGAAGACGACACCAGTGGGAAGCTGCCGCCGTATGCTGCTCTCGACACTAACAGCTCTGGTCCCCTGATCCGTCTTGTTGTTTTTGTCGTCTCACGTGGTCGGGCTGCAGTAGCCCAAGTATCAAATCAGATCGCTGGAGCAAAACACACCTCTTGAGTCGATATTCTCGCAGTCGACTTTTAAGCATCTATCCGCCTCGACAAAGCCGAGCGCAGCCACGGGAAAGAGCTTGGATCCTGGGAGAGACGGTCTGCAGTACGAAACCAGTGTCGCATTGGGGAGAACCTGTGATATCTTGATTGGCGCAACGAGCAACTATCTGAGGACAGCTCGCAGGCCACACGACCACGCGACCCAGCAACCCATCTGAGCTGTACAAAACCCATCCAGATCGCCCAATCCGTGTCTTGTTACCCCACGCCCGACAGCAAGCTCAAGCAAGCTTGAGCTCCAGTGCCAGTGCCCGATTACACGTGGTGCCAGTCCAGTGTCACCACCACGCTGTCGCAACCCAGAGACTGGTTTTCGTGAGGTCGGCGCGCCCAAGCGACGATACGATAGAGCGGATAGTTGCAACGAGGCCAGAGCATCAAGGCATTTCTCTCCCCCATCCTCGCAGCGACCCCGGCCCTCCGCCTTACACAAAGTCCCCGGCTGCACGCACGACACGTCTGGGGAAAGCAGGAAACTTCTTTATAAGAAGAAACACGGCGCCAGCCACGGGGAACCGCATCAACATAAACTTTTGAAACCCGTCTCGCAGGCTTCTGGAATCTTGACCTTTCTATATTAGGTTCCTACTTCTTCGTCAGTCGTCGGCAAGGATTACCCCAAAGCACCCCGCCAACTTCAGTCTCACCATCAGCCGTCAGTACCTTGGCTATATCCTGCATCCCTATCGTCTTGGGGGAAAGAATAAACGTTGACTCCAACAAGCTGTCGCATCCCCGCCATTCTGCCGACCCGCGTCATCGTTCCTTTTGCAAGGAAAGCCATTCCACACATTTGACGGCACGGCCTTTGAGACAGCGCCAGTGGTGAACCCCTTTGACACTCAAAGCAACAAACTTTAATCCCCAAGAGAGAGCATGTGCATGCAATCATACTTCTGCACCCCATCAATTCGACGAAGCTCCAAGAAAGCTTATTGTGGCCCACATTCGTGCTGTGCATGTTGATCTACATAGATCGACACCACCAGCATGGCGCTCAAACTCAAACCACTGCTACTACCGGAGCTCGTGGAGCAGCGAAGGAAACACGAAACCCTGGTGCAACAGGGCGCGGCTGACCCCGACCAGAGCTTCATTTACTACACTCATCACTCGTCATCGTCATCTTCCGACATTGGGTCGCGCTCACCCTTGACTCCAACCTTCTCGCGCAGTCAATCGCGGTATTCCGGATCGACGTCTTCCCTGGAGCAGTTGTCCTCGTCATATTCCGAGAGCCCGGCATCACCCGCCCAAGCTAGCAACAGCATCAAGGGCGGCAAGTCACTGCTGCCAGATGTTCAAGAGGACCCGCTAAGAGAAGATGAGCACATAGCAACTGTTGTCGACGAGCACCGCGGCCTCTATGACTGCTTGTGCGATGAACCCTGCATGCACCATGACGTCGACCCGACTCTGGGCAACAACTTCACCTACCTCGGGACAGACATGGACTATTACGATCTCGGGTTCATGAGCGACAGCGATTTCAGTATTGACGAGCGCGCAAAGAAACAGCGATCCGGCGACGAGTCGCCTTTCGCGGGCTTGAGCCGACGCGTTAGCTCCAAGATTTCTGGCCATGTGTCTCGGTGGAGGTCGTCCAGCAAGCGCAACAATTTTACCTTTTCCCCTGCTTCCGAACCATCTTTAGATCAGGGAACGACTTTGTCGAGAGCCGCATCGCGAGCAGCATCAAGCAGGTCGTCGTCTATTTCTGCACCGGGACGTTACATCCCGGATCGGTCCAACGAACCTCCACTTCCCCCTACTCCAGCACTCTCATTATACGAGAGCACCGACAACATTGCCCCTGCAGAAGTTCTCGATATAGAGCAGGCTGATGTACGGAGGAGTCTTGAACGCGAGCGCGCCTTGGCGGCCACGCCGCTCCTCCCTCCGCTGTTGATCGAGCGGCCCGCGTTTTCAGCTCCGCCGTCTCTGCACGTATCACCACTGCAGTCACCGACCATCGCTGCAATGGCGTCTATGACCATACAAGAAGCAGCTTTGGCAGCTTATGCAACCCCGCCCCTGAGCAGCAAGCCTTCCGTATCCTCATTTCGCCCTATGGTATCGCCTGCGTCCCCGATCGGCGAGCTTCCTTCGCCAATACCCAACATGATCGAGCATGACGAATGGTCTGATCTTCTGGGTCATGCCAATTTTACGATCGTTCCACGTCCTTACCGCCCCACGACGACGGACATGGAGGCTCTGACATGCCTGCGTGCGAACTGGGAACTGGCCAAGGTGAACTACACAAAGCACCTGTGCCGCACCGGCGAGCACTACGGCATGACGTCCAACACCTATACTCTCACCCAAGCCAAATGGGCCGAAATTGAGCGTGAATGGCGCACCATCGAGAACGAGCTCGTCGATCAGATCATCAAGCACGGTGGCGAAGAAGTCGACCCGGCAGAACTCATCCGGCGTGGGCGCCAAGAAGAGGCCCAGCCGGCGATTATTCCCAACATGGTCGAGGGCAAGTTCCCGGAGCGCGGCGACGTCGACATTGTCGGCCCGATGCAGCGAGACGCCGTGATGATTCGCGACGTCTCACGCGACGTCTCGCCTATCGACGACCGGAAGCACGTGTCCGCGTGGCTCAAGAGTCTGGCTGGCAAAGTTGGCTTGCGGAAATGACCTGATCGCGGATTCTTTTCCTGCGTGTTTGCCGTTATTGAGCGTCACGAAGCGTCACGACTACTCACGACACATAGACCTGGTTTCCAGCGTCGTTTCTTACAAGCCTTATTTTTTATGTTGGCAGGTGTTACTTGCCTTTCAAGATACCCAATCAACTCACGACACTCCTTACAATGTTTTTATTTATTCACTATTATGCCTGCCAAGGCCGTGGGCGCATCCCGACTCGCTGTTTCTTACGTCCAGCGAGAAAGATGTGCCACGACTATTTTCACTTCCTCCTGTTTATTGCATAGACATTAGCATGGCTGCGAGACGGGACACAGCACCTACCGTTCGTGTATGTAGATATTCTCAACAGGGACTAAGTTCAGACTTCCCTTTGTACACATGTTTCCTTGACCCCGTTTCACATCGACATTGGCTATGAGAAAAGGGACAAGCGTTGCGACGTGTGCTATCACGGGTCCAAAATAGATCTGGGATGGCTTGTACAACGGTGCACGGCGTACAGGATGGGTTCGGGGTGTTACGCGGACGCGGGGCAGATAGAGAGCGTCTGGTAGCGTCTCGGAGGACAAGAGAAAAGGGAAAAGCGTCCGGAAAAGTCTTTGTGTGCGGTAGGCCGCCTTCAGGCGCCGTGTGTACACTTGTTATGTCATGTACGAAATGCGGCCGGCATGCGGCAATGGGGAGGGTTGCTCAGCAGGTGCTGGGTGTACCGGGTTGGAGAGAGCTCAGGGGCTGGCGGGAGGAAGCAGCAGTTTGCTATGGTCGAATACCATAGCCTCCGGCTCTGGCAGAAGGATGGGTATCCTTGGGCACTCGTGCCTCTGCCTGGAGTGCCGAGGAGACAGGCGAGTTGGAGTCAATGATCTCGAAGATAGCTACGAGAGAAAAGCACGTTCAAACAAACACTGCCGTGAAATAATGCCTTCTTGTCTTTCCATGTCCACACTGCCTTCGACCATCGTCATAAAGCAAGCAACACCAGCTGACAGCGCATCGTTTGGCATGCGCCAAAGCCACCCCCGCACGTTTGTGTCAAATTAAGACATGCTGCCACAATTCGGCTACCGTTGCCTCCAGCACCCGCCATCCAGACGCCCTGAAACACGTGGCGTCGATAGACCGCGGCCGGACCCGGATCTGCACGGCCTACCACCTCCTTTACCCTTACCTTCCCCTTGTGAGGTGCAGGACCGGTAGAACAGATGACGACACCAAGCGACGGTTGTCTCGCCCTCGGCATGTGGACCGCAAGTCGAGAAGCTGGAATCATGCGGTCGACCGGCGGGAGGGAGTAGTCGGGTAGGCAGCGATAGGCGAGAGGGCAGCCAGGCAGACCAAGGGGGGCACAGGAAGCTTCCAAGATCGGCCACGGCAACCGGCCACGGACATGTCAAACGGAAAGCCTAGACCGATCCGACGGCCATGACAATCAGAATCCAATCCAGCCCAACGTCACGGCCCTCCGTGGGCGGCAATGTGCAGATCCACTCCCGTCGCATGCCGTGATACTTAGGCTCAGTAGCAAGAAGTAATTCAAGGCTAGGGCCGTAACCTGGTGACACGGCTACCAACAGAGAGTAGAGTTGACAAACTTGACATGTAGCAGCAGCAGCAGCCACTAAAGCGCGGCAGAGGCCAGGCTGCCGGCCAGCAGCCCCAGATCGGCGGAGACGGGAGGCGGAGGCCGTGGGCGGCGACGCGCAGCACCTGGAACGACGTGCATGCAGGCGGCCATCGTGCAGCAAGAGGGGATGTGAGGCGGTTCGCACGGTGCTTGTCATGGTACGCCAGGTTTGTTTTTGGTGCCGTTTGTATCGGTGGTGGTGTGCAATTCCAGAAACCACTGGCACTACAACCATGTACCACCAACAAGGACCTAAGCCTCCATCTGATTGGTTTATTAGTGTAGTGGTTAGCACGTGGGATTTTGACTACACTGTAATCTTCCCGAGTCGCAGGTTCGAGCCCTGCATAGACCTGCCAATCGTTCATTTTTGTTCTTTTTGACCACCGTACTACGAGTATCAAATAAGGCAAGTGTAGCCTTTTCTTCTAACATTTCTTGATTCAACTGCTGCGGCTTTAGTATCTTGAATTCCTCTGCAAAGTTATGTTCGAAGTTTGAAGCTAGAAATCTCCACTTCCCCATGCTCGACCTCTCTCCACCATGCCCTAGCCCTCGTCTCGATCCATTCCTGCACATAATACCCGTTAGTGGCCAAGAGCGACATCCAAATCGGAACCACATTCGATCTCATCGGGTATGGTGTAGCGGTAACATCGATGACTCTCACTCATCAGCCCGGGGTTCGACTCCCCGTATCCGAGACGTGACGCCTTTCTAGGAAGGTGATTCCTTTTTTGCTCAAGTTGTGTTAACCCTATAGGCGCGCAGATAGTATTGGCAAGGAGGCAGCAAGGCGACGTCCATCTTTCTGACATGACGGCGATAATGGAAGTACTGATCATCAGGCATCCGACGTCTTGTGGGCACCATTGACCGCGAGGTGCAAGGCCCACAGACATCGCATGGGCAGTGTTCTGAGGTACGGAACCTCTACGTTCCTATCATGTCATGCGAACCGAAAAGCGTTGGCCTCTGAGAAAGAGCATCGAACGATGGAAGCTCGACTGTGTCGACCGCTTTGATATCCAGGGCGCTTGTCGATGTCGCCGACTTGGGTTTACTGGCCGCTATGTCGCTGACTTCTGGAATTCCAACCGACTAAAACCAGTCTCGGTTGAAGAGGGCAGAAAACGATAAGACATCGCATGCAGTATAGTCCCGATGTGCGGCTTTGGTGATGCTACCAAAGGTTGTCCATCGAACACCTCTTCTTCTGACATCTTGGCGAGAGTGTTGTCGAAGTAGATATACAGGTTAACAAGAGTGTCTCAGCCTATAAGATTTTTTAGATTCGATCAAATGCTGACTGGCTCGACAACCTAAGGCAGCATCATGAGATGTCTCGTAGAACCTGCGAGTGGATCTGCCAAGCAATCAGGTGACGACGAGTATAGACTCCAGTATCACGCCACCAGGACGTCCAAGTCGGGCAACCCATTAAAGCGTCCAAGTCCTACCTCACCAACCATTCCCCAACACGGCACTTACCTCATAACTCGCCATACACTAGCTATAATCACAATGCAAGCCGTGCTCGGAACACACACCCCTTCGATGGCTCGGGGTCTGGCCACAGGGCTGTCTCGGGCATTCACATCCCGCCCCAGGCCCAGCATCGCATCTCGTCTGGCCCGCCAGGCCACCTCTACCCGCTCCGCCTACAGCACAGTAATCTACCAGGGCCAGAATCCCGCCTCCAAGGAACGCAAGATCGACGACACGCAAGTCTACGGCAGCGAGGTGAAGCTCAACCCCAGCGAGAGCGAAGCAGACGTCGCCGCCGACCGGGGGGAGATGGACCCGCTGAGGAAAGAGACGCGCGACACGATTTTGATCGTTGACGCTGTCAAGGTCCACAAGTGCGAGCGGCCGACGGATAGCCAGCAGGCTGTACACGCCGACCGGTACATGCCTGATCCCCTGAAGGAGAAGCATGTCAGGATTGTGCTCGAGGGAGACGAGTGCCACCCGACGGCTAGCGAGGAGGCTGTGCATGCCGACCGGTACATGCCTGACCCCCTGAAGGGCAAGGACTTGAAGCATGCCACGGTTTTTGTCGAGGGCGAGGCCACGATTCTGGTCGAGGGCGACGAGGGCAACAAGCGCGTGTGGGCGACGGATAGCGAGGAGGCTGGACGTGCCGACCGGCACATGCCTGATCCGCTCAAGGGAAAGCCTGGCGGTTCATCTCAGGTACATGGATGATCTCGTAGAGGGCAAGGCTGGTGGTCTAGCACAGAAATCATCAAATTGTCCATGCAGAAAACTATGTACCACCAGGCTAGATCTAATCCTCGCCACTCCGCTCTTCCTCGTCCTCCATGGCATCTAGGGCACTGTTAAAGTCTTCGACACAAATGACCTGACCAGAAGGTATCGTATACTTCATTTGAGGCACCTCCACCTGTGTGCCCGAGCGCAATGTGTGAGTCCTCGAAGACGACTGGGCCGGAAATGAACTCAAGTCCCTGCCGCCCAGATCAATGTTTAAGCCGAGGCGCGATTGAAGAGTTCCCGAAGACGACTGGGCCGGAAGTGTGCCGCCCGACGCGAGGGAATCCTCCTCTTCTGTGAATCGGTCAAGCATGGATTCCAGCTCCCTCTCCCTTTGAAGCTCGCCATTGGTCCACCCCTCCCCTAGCTTCTCCGTTGCCTCGTTGTAGGTTCGCGCGGCCTTCTGCAACAGCTCCATGGTAGGCATGATTCCCGGGTTTTTGCTCCCAGCGCCGCCGCCAGCATCGCCGCAGACACTCCGGAAGATCCAGCCGACTATAAACGGCAGCTGGTACTCGCCGTCGTCGAACTTGGGCCCAACCCACTCGACCATGTCCCCGTACACCGCAGCCCTCACCAGCCTCAGGAGGCTCCAGCACGTGCGGTGCATGGCAAAGTAATCCGCCGCGATCTCGGCGACTTCTTCGTGAAGCGCATGTGCGAGGTCGGTGATCATTTCCGCGGGCGAGAGCTGTTTCCCGTCCTCCCTGTTTCCGCGAGACGATGAGTTTGCTGGTCGCCCACCCTCGAGAATAGCTTTGACGTCCTCGGCCGTAGAGTTCAACCTCGGACTAGCCGCCGTTGGTTTCAACAGCCACATATTGCTGACCCTCCCCTGCGGCTTGAGTGAGCGCGGCCCGGCCTTAGTGGCCTCCATCTTGCCCTTGTTTCGCTTGTCCCGCTGGCCCGTAAACGCGGCCGCCGAGAAGCCCATGACCATGCACAGCTGCTTGTGGTAGTCGGCCGCGTCGGCCGGGGCCGCGCCGACGAAGAACTTGTCCCGGCCGCCCTGGAGGTTGTAGAAGAGCTCCATGTCCTCCCACTTCTGCGAGATCAGCTGCTCGCGCTCGAGCGCGTTGTACAGGTGGCCCGAGTACAGGATGCCGCCGAACGCGCGCTCGAGGGCGAGGCCCAGGGTGTGGAAGCGCGTGCGCACGTCGTGGATCCAGAGCCCGCAGTACCAAGGGTGGCGTTTCAGGAACAGGTTTTCTTCCACCGGCGTCCCGCCGAGCTGATCCCTCATCAAGTGTACGGGGTTGTTGTGCCAGTATGTTATGTCATGTTGGAGGTCGCGGAGTCCCTTGTCGTGCTGGGCAGTCCAGCCGACGATTCTGAGGTTCTTGTGGTACTCAATCGTCTTTTGGATGCTGTCGTGGACCTGGTTCCCGATGGCCTTCATCTCGAAATAGGGAAGGTCGACTTCCTCCTTCAGCACTCGGCGGATGTCGAGATGGATCGAGGTGGCCAGGATTAGCCACAGACTGAGTTCCCTGGCCCTGGAACGGGGTGGGGAAGCCATCCACAAGTGCATACCGCGCGTCATCTCGTCAACGATGGGCACCTGGCCATTGCCGCCCGCCTCCTTGGGCAGGGGCTGGTAGGCCATCCGTCCCGTCATGTCGAACTCGGGAAAGACTTCCATCAGGGACGTCTTGTCCTGCTGCCACTTGTCCCTGTTTGAGGCATGATCCCAGTCGAAATCCTTTTCAGACCTGAAATTCGTCAGCGCCATGAATGTCATAATGTCTACATGACTTGTACGGGGAGCCTTACCAGCCAAATTTTCCGTTCTAAGTCGAAAAGCCGCCAGGATCCGAGTCGGACCACCCCCTCAGCAACCTGGCCGAGTTATTCATGGTGTAGTCAACCAAGCCGTACGTGCTCATATTATACTCGTCTGGATGCCGGAAGTCCATAGCGTCCTTGCCTTCGGCTACACAGCAGGCCGTGTAGAAGTCATACAGCAGGCCGTGCATGCCATCCTTGACATTGGCGAACAGATGCGCCACGTCCTCCTCCATGCGCCTGGCGAGGTCAATCGCTGTGTTGGTGGCAATAGCCACAGCCGATAACTTGAGCTTACTGTCGTCGTAATCAGTCCACAAGCTCTTGACGCGGGTGCGAATGGCGTTGACATCCCGGAAGAGAGTACAAAAGGCGAGGAACATCTCCAATCCCATGTCCGAGTCCGCCTCCTCTGCCTTGTAGTCTACCGTCATGACCGCCTCCTTGCCCTTGGAAGCAGCCTGCTCAGCATCGCCAGCTGAGACGTCGTCCAGGCCAAGATCAATATCGGGCGTATCGTAGACCTTGAGAATGTCAAAAGGGTTCTGCGAGGCGACGCCGACATCCGCGCCACTCGACAGGGCGTCCGCCACAGCCGACATGTCCTTGAGCCCGCCCGGTGCTGACTTCCAGAACAGGGGCTTCAGCAAGTCACGGACTCTCTCGAGCACGCCGACGAAGAAGGAGTGCTTGGCGTCGCGCTTCAGCTTCGAGTCGATGCCCTGCTTCTGCAGCAGGCTGGCAAATGCGCGGCGGACCGAGATGGCCCGCTCAATGGCCGCGACAAAGGTATGGGGGATGTCGACCTTGTACTTGTCGATCTCGCTGGAGCCGATGAATTCGGCCAGAGGCACAAAGTTCTTGATTGCCAAGACATACTTGGGCAGGTCCGGCGGTGGTGCTGCCGATGCCGGTGCCGCTTCTGGCGCTGCTCCTCCTGGTGGTGCTGATGATGACGGTCCTGCCTTTGCCTGTTTGCGGGCCTTGCCCTTCAGTCTCCCGCCGGCGACCTTTTTGGCCGCAGTGGGACCTGCTGCTGGTGCCGACGCGAGGAGCTCATCCGGGCATCCAATACGCCGGCCCATGTGGGCCAGCCATGATGCCACGACATCGGTGTCATGTTTGTACTGTCGGTACGTGCTTGTGAGACTTGGTGGCAGCGGCATTTTTGCAGTTGAGATACACGCGCACGGTGCTTGTTGTGTTGTCGTCGTTGTTGTATTTAACGCCCGTTAGGCGTTCCTAAATATCGAGGCCACTCCGTCAAGGATAAACAAACGCGTGCCGATCAGG